AGCAACAGACAAGAGAAAGTATTTCAAGACTTATGCTTTAAAAAACCAATGTGGTGTGCAAAACAGGGCTGGTACCCACCCTTAGACTCCTTTGAAATCCACAGTGTTAAAGCAACAATGCCTTCACCAGCTGGGATTCAGCTCCAGGCCACAGAGAACTTCTCCAGACACATTTTGGAAACTGATGAAGCCTGAGTTAGCCTCAGTCTCACTCCTGCTCAGAGGAGCTGAGTCTTGCTTGGTGCACTTCCCCCTTTCTATGCATCTTCAAAATTATGATCAGGGAAGAGTCATTTTGAGCTTCTTTAGAAGTAGTATGTATGGGCTACATGGCTCCAGCCAGCTGGCTAAGGCAGGCCCGCCCACTGCCTGTAATTATTAGCAACTGTGGTTAGTAGTGTCTTCACTGAATGAAGTAACATAATTGATGAATTGGCTTGTAAACCATGATCATTAGTGATGGGTTTTGAGCAGGTTTGTTGCAGCTGTAGGAAGATCTTGATGTTTGAATTAGATAATTTCCTGGAGCTAGAGTATACATGTAACTTGTTTTAAGCATCCAGAAGTGCTTAGATTTTCAAACCACATAGAACAGTGGTTCTCAATTTTTTTTCAGACCATTTGAAAATTGCTGAGGGGCTTAGTGGACCATTTAAAGATCTTTCCAAATGTTTGTACCCTTGTGACAGATTGTAAAATACTTTGGCTTGTTGCCCTATATAAAGAAAACTTAGAACAAAAAAGCTTTTTACAAATAAAAGCACACAACTCATTTTATTATGAAGAGGGGTCTCTCCCCACACCACAGCAGCCAGAGCTGGGGCAGGGAAGGAGGGCCATCTCTCCCTGGCAGCCACATCCCTGGAGATGGGGAAAATCATCTCTTTCTCTGGCCACCACAGCCCAGCATGTCCCAAATTATCAACAATTCCTCTTCTCACCCTCATGCCCCCCACCAAGCCATCACCTCACCTTACATGTGAGGGGCCAGGCACCTACTCAGTGAAGCCACAAATTAGGTGGGTGGCCCTTCATTGCAAGGGGCCAGGAACCTATTCAGTGGAGCCACAAATTAGGTGGGTGGCCCTTCATTGTCTCATGTGCAGCCACCTGGGTGCATACCTCAGAGCAACTATTTACAGCCCGACCCCACCTGAACAGAGCTCACAGACCACAATCTGAGAGCCTCTGGCACAGAACTTAGACAGTAATTTAAGCCACAAAGGTGGTAACCCTAGAACTAAGTCACATGCCTAGCTCTAGCTTTTGTTGATTGGCTCAGAACTTAAGACAGTAGTTTAAGCCACAAAGATGGTAACCCTAGAACTAAAGTCACATGCCTAGCTCTAGCTTTTGTTGATTGGCTGCAAATCTGGCCCTCTTCCCAGCATAGCACCATCCTAGAGAGGGTTGTTCTCTTGCTGCTGCGTATCCCATGCACGCACAAGGCCAAATGGAGCTAACTTACTCCTTAACAGAGCTCATGCTCCTCGCACATTGGGCTGGTCAGTGTCTCTGAGCCTCTGTTGTGCCCCTCTGTAAAATGGAGATATTACCATTGCCCTACCACAGTAGGAGTTAATGATAAATATACTGAAAACGGAGCCTCAGGTATTACAGTAATGAGGCCGAATAAATACGCAAGTCAGGTTGCTTGGGTGTGTTGGCTAGTACATTCCTCAAGTGAGCCAGCTCTTAGTAATCTGAACATTTTGCCTTCACTCTGTAGTTAAGCAACATATAAAAATCCATTCTCATAGTTATGGCAATATCATTGCAGCGTCTATTGCACTAAGTATTAAACAGACAGACATTTCATTTGGCAGGGGAAGGGGCCCCAGAGAATGTTCTTTACTAGGAAGGGAAGAAAAGATCCCAACTTCGTTTCAACAGAATCAAGGGAAATTAGGGGCTTCTGGAGCTTTAGTATGGATGCAAACACTTCAGGTCATGTGACTTCTGCAATATTCAGGCCCAGCAAATGAGGTATGACTTTTGCTAAACCAACAGATAGACTGACTGTCCTCTGGGGAGGGTTAAGGTATCATCAGAAGGAACTAGAGTTAGTGCACAATGAAGAATAAGGCAAGCATCCCTGCCACCTACAGTCAAATCCAAGTCTGCTTTTGTTACCCTCTATAGCCCTACTAGGGCAATGACTTTGGAAATTATAAACACCACGCTGGACGTTGCATATGGTGTCTCCTCTTTATACTTACGGGGGAAAGATACTGGATTGGTAGCACTAAAGAACTGACCACTTGTTCAGCCTGCATAGTCTGCCAGTACCTGATTACCTACTTACAGTGCTCCAGCACAATGTTACTCAACCTTTTTTAAAAATAAATAACTTTTTAAAAAAAGAAAAAATTGTAAGTACCCCCCCATTCCACCCACCCCACCCCAGAGCCAGGCACCCCCACTCTAACCCAATGCTCCTCCCCTCCCCCAGAGCAAGGCACCGAATGTATGATAACCCTACCTTTCAATCGCCCGCTCCCACCGCCCAGCCCTGCCTCAGCTGCTTGACTGCAGGGTGCAAGTGGCCCACCAGCGCCAGGCTCACCACATGAGGCTGTGCTCTCCCACCCCAGCCTGATGTCCCCCTATTGTGGTGCCCAGGGGCAACTGCCCCCCCGTACCTTCCTCACTATGCCACTGATGTGGGGGCAGTCCTTTAGAGCAAAGCTTATTGTGCCCTTCACCATCTTTTAGCTCGTCTCCACAGTGCCATGGGGAAGGGGCGATGGGGATGCATTGTACGTCTCCACAGTGCTATGGGGAAGGGGCGATGGGGATGCATTGTACTGAGCTGCTGGTGGAGGTGGGGGTAATGCATGTCTCCAAGTTCAGCCGCCCTCCCGGCTGCAGCACCCCAGGGAGGCTGATGGAGAGGAAACGAACTAGGAGAGGTGGCCGTGGAAGAGATTTTTTTTCCCCTCCCCACCCAAACTTGCCTCCCAACTTGGAACTGACCTGAGTCTCACCAGAGTCACCACAGCTACCTTCCTCACTATGCCACTGATGTGGGGGCAGTCCTTTAGAGCAAAGCTTATTGTGCCCCTTCACCACCTTTTAGCTCGTCTCCACAGTGCTATGGGGAAGGGGCGATGGGGATGCATTGTACTGAGCTGCTGGTGGAGGTGGGGGTAATGCATGTCTCCAAGTTCAGCCGCCCTCCCGGCTGCAGCACCCCAGGGAGGCTGATGGAGAGGAAACGAACTAGGAGAGGTGGCCGTGGAAGAGATTTTTTTTCCCCTCCCCACCCAAACTTGCCTCCCAACTTGGAACTGACCTGAGTCTCACCAGAGTCACCACAGCCACATGCTTTTCCCACCAGCACTGGGGCGTGTGTACAGAGCAGCAGTGAATGGTCTGGCTTTGAACATTCAATTTGACAGGCATGTGCCACCGCCACCCCCTCCCCAATCCCATTTGCAGGGCAAAAATCTCAGACTTTTGCTAAATTTCATTTGTATTGCCGTAGCCCCCAGACGGCTCTCGCATACCCCTAAAGGGTACATGTATCACTGGAGATTTTTTTTCCCCTCCCCACCCAAACTTGCCTCCCAACTTGGAACTGACCTGAGTCTCACCAGAGTCACCACAGCCACATGCTTTTCCCACCAGCACTGGGGCGTGTGTACAGAGCAGCAGTGAATGGTCTGGCTTTGAACATTCAATTTGACAGGCATGTCCCACCGCCACCCCCTCCCCAATCCCATTTGCAGGGCAAAAATCTCAGACATTTTTTGCTAAATTTCATTTGTATTGCTGTAGCCCCCAGACGTCTCTCGTTACCCCTAAAGGGTACATGTATCACTGGTTGAGAAACACTGCTCTAGCACACAGTGAAGAGATTACTGTGCTGATGGGAGGGGGTACTCCACCTCCCTAAGAGGCAGTAGCTGATTTGACAGGAGAAGCCCACCCACCAACATGGCACTATCTTTAATGGGGGTTACGACAGTATAATTAGTGACAGTTATACCAACATACATTGGTAGTGTGAACCAAGTCTAATTCCCCCAAAGTCAGTGAGCTATGCAAGTTTCCAGCTGCTTAGCTGACCCGCTCTCCAAATAGGTACAGCACAAGCAGCAGCAGCAAAATTTTCTGACAAAGTTCTCTGAAAGGAGCACCTCTCAGACTTTGGAGGTAAACCATGTTCATTCAGTCCTGGGCTCCCAAGTGACAATGATGATGGTGCCTGTTTAGCAAGACTCAAAGTTATTTGTTTCACCTAAATAACTATCATTACTAAAGCCATATCTGCATCCAGAGAGAAATAGAGGTAAAAAAGTTTCCATATGCTATTGTCTAGCTAACATTAAGTCCTGTGAGTGTTGTGCAAAGTAGCCACCTTGATAAAACCTGAGGATTCTCAAGCAGCAGGCTCCTTGGGACAGTGTCTGCTACATGGGTAGAAACTGACACTAAAGTATGATGGCAATGGAAAAATCGCTGAGCTCATCACCTCAGAGCAGGCATCAGAGACCATGAGCGTCCTCTGTCTAGGAAAGGTCAAAGGAGAGAAGACGACCACTTCACCTAACCAGGGACTTGAACCCTGGGCACTCAGATCAAAAGTCTGATGCTCTACCAATTGAGCAGTCGACTCCATACCAAATAGCTTGATGACACAAGCTGTAAGGGACTTAATCCGAGTCATTTTCCTACTGATCATCTCCCTGTAAAGACTAGTAGCTTGCCACCTACAGGACAGCTGCCAAATCTCATTTCGTTTACAGACATGGAGGAACACAATACAAGAACTCCTCTGCCAGGCACATTCTATATCTTCAAGACAGGAGAAATTCCATCAGCCAGACCAGAGACTTTATCCCAGAAGGCAGGTGAGTTTGGGGCCAATGCAGGATCTCTTAGCACAGACTGATTGGAGTGAAGCTGAATGCTTACAATAACGGCTTGTTGACCTCCTTTACATTTTTATTGCATATTCAGTTTCAGATATGAAAG